AGGTGATGATTGAAGTACTTTGCTTTCTTTTCTTTTGACTCAGGGTTACATTCCATGTTAAGCTATGTTTGTTTTCTGGAATTTTGATTGAAGAAGGCTATGGGCTCCTTTCTGCCTAATCTGCCATCTTACCTGGAAGTGTTTCTCTTGTCTCATTGCTTTATTTCCAGAATAATGTAAACCAAAAAGAGTAATGAAAAGCAACCTTATATTGACCTAGGTATTGATGGGAATACCTTTACTAAGGAACTTACCAGCATATGAGTTCCTTGGGTAAATGAGTTTGGAAATGGATAACTTAAACAATTCTTTTCTGCCGAACTTTTCAGATGAGTTTTTAGGCCAAAATGTTTTCTTTAATCCCAACGATATGGAAATATTTAGGCCGTGTATTCAGATGAATATGTTTTTGGAAATGCAGACAGAATATTTCTTTTTTAAAGATGATTTTCTTTCTTTTTTTTTTACTGCATTGAAAAATATTCTCCTGGCACTGCAATTCCAGAGGTGTGAGGTTCAAATCCACCGGATGCTCCACTGGAGAAGGAGGGACAATTTCCTCCTGTACTAGTCAGATCCAATTTGACAGTACACACACACACACACACGCACACACACACACACACAATAATAAAATAAAAAAAATATTTTTTAAAAAATTATTCTCCTGGCTTACTGAGAATTTTATCATATGCTGAAAGGATATTTAACTTAAGTTAAATATTTAACTTAAGTTAAATATTGACATAATATTGATTTGGTTGTATGAATTTTCTTTGTGACTTAATGATTATACTTATAATTATGAATCATATTTATGTTTCTTAGCATGTAAATTTCATTAAATTTATGAAGTAGACTTATTTGATCATAAACTATTATCATTTTAGTACATTATGTTTTGTAGTAAATTATTTCAGCTGTTAAAATCTTAAGTGAGGTTGACAGTTTTTTAATGCTTTTTTTCTTCTGATATCAGTTAAAACATGCTTTACATGATTTTTTACATGTATCTGTAACAGTGTGCACAGCCTAAAGATCATTAATGCCTTGTGGGATTTTTTTTTTTGTTTTTTTATTCAATTCTGTCAGTTTGTGTAATTCTAAAAATATATCGTTTTTGTGCAGATTTCAAGTTGATTTTTAAGTAAATCTAGGATAAACAGGGACACAATATTCTTCTTTAATGAAAATGTTTTTTTCTTAAAACAAAGCCTGAAGCGATCTTCTCATACTAACTGATTGATCGTTTTCTTAGCTTTCATTGCATGCTGTATCTTGTCTTGGATATTTAAAAAAAAATTCTGTGAATATGTGCTGGTTTTCTGTATTCTCTTGCTTTCTTTGATTTAATGGATTACTTCTTTTCTAACTTTCAGAGTGGTTTCATTTTCTCTGCTCTTTATTATTTATTGATAAACTTTTGAGGGCCTTCCCCCCTTTTTAAAATTTAAATTTATTATTAATTTCAATAAAAATGTACAGAGACTTTGGATTTCCATTCATTCATTGTTGAACTTTTCTCCCCTCCCAACCCTCCTCCCTAGTACACTACCCTCTTGAGAAAGTAAAAGACAAATACACTACCCTCTTGAGAAAGTAAAAGACAAATTCTTTCAGTTTTACAAACCCTCTCCCAGGTCCACTCCACCATGTAGCCTTCGCTCTAGACTCCTATCGTGACAAAAATACCTGATCACATATCCCTTTTAAACAGCTTTCTCCCTCATCTATTTCAATGCAGTATACATTATTGAACCCATCTTTCTCAGTCTCTCCCCAACCCTGATGTCAGTCCTGTTTTACAACAGTGGCACCATGCAGTATTTGTCCTTTTGTGACTGAGATACTTCACTTAGCATAATGTTCTCCAGAGTCACCCATTTTGAATAATATTGCATGAGTTCCTTGTTTTTCAATGCAGCATAGTTTTCCATTGTGTGAATATACCACAGCTTCTCTATCCATTTGCTTGTTGATGGACATTTGGATTGTTTCCAAGTTCTTGCTATTGTGAACAGAATTGTAATAAACATGGGCATGCATGGCACTGACTTATTTTCTTTCTTTTTTTTTTTCTGTTTCAAAATTTCAGTGTTAGTTTTTGCACACCCTTCCCCCCACCCCCTGTTTGTAAAGAACTAAAACATTACATCTGGTGAACAGCAAAGATTTCACTACACCTCAAATGCAGAACACCTATGAAGCAGAGGAATGTTAGCTTTTTAAACAGAAGCAGATAAAAAAAAAAGATGCAGGACTCCTTCAGTTCTTCACTAGTCTTAGAAAAACTTTCCAGGATACTGCTTTACACTGTTCTGCAGCAAATACTGTGCATTCTGTATCTGGTCCTGTGTTCCTGTTATAGTAATGTTACGATCTTCAGACCCTTCCAACTGCTCATCAATTTTGATTGAAGCTCCAGATTCATGACAGATCTGCTTAATCCGCTGACCACCTTTGCCAATAATAGATCCAGCCAAATCTTTGGGAATAGTTACTTGTGTAGTAATAATAGGTCCACCAAGATCACCATATGAGCCTTGACCCCCTGCATAGGAATAATTATATCCAGAGCCACCCTGTGGTTCATAAGCCATTTGCCATTCTGATGGGCTCCATGTATCTATTGCAGAATCCCAAGTTTCATCAGCACTGAAACCAACCATGCCATCATAACGGTCTCCAGGTCTCCCTCTTCTGTCATAAGCCATTAAGTCCCCTCTTCTTGGTGGTGGTGGGGGGGGGGTGAAGAGGGAGATTCCGAGCTCTGCTACCACCCCTGCCACCTCGTCCAGGAGGCAGTGGTGGTGGTCCTCGACGAGGGCTCATGTCATCATAGTCTCTTCTAGATGGAGGCACGGGACACCCACCCCGACCAGGAGGCATTCTGTCAAAACCACCTCTTCCTCTCATTGGAAATCCCACAGGTCGCCCACGGCGGTCATCAAAATCATTGTAAAACCACCATAATCATAGGTTTCATCATAGCAATTGGGATCGTAAGGCTGCGCTCATCCTTTGATGGGAGACTCAGATATAAGATCAAGTATGATCTTTATGCATTCTACAACCCTATCAGGCTTTCCTCCAATAAGTACAACTCGGTCAGTGGAACGAGGACAGCATTCCTTGAAAAGCTTGATAGTTGTCTGAGTGTTCTCTGGAAGTTCTTTGATTTTAGCACCTTTGACCCCAATCATTCCTCCTGCCAGACTCTGATGAATCAACAGTCTCAACTCGCAGTCAAAGTCACTTCCTTTATAGTGTTGGTACTCCTCTAAGATAGGGATGATTTTCTTCAGAATCTCTCCAATTGTTTCAATATCAGCACTGATAACTCAATATGTGCTCGGGGCCACTGCTATCTGCGACTGAAACACTGGCATTGTAGTCTGTACGAAGAACCTTAATATTCTTGCCTCCTTTCCCAATCACTGCCCCAGCATTCTTGCTTTGAAGCAGAATACGAGGCTCAACCATTTCATCAGTGTTTCTCGATCTTTTAAATGCTTGCTCCTCTTCCATATCTTCTGCAGGGCATTTACCAAACTCACCATTTGTTTCCGTATTGGGGAAGGTTTCCTCTGGCTGTTTAGTTTCCATTTTCTTGTGCTAAGCAGACACACCAATCTATTGACAGCGAAGGAGCGGAACACCGGCTAATGCTGAGATCGGTGCGCCAGGGAAAAAGGGGTAATGGCGTCAGCAGTGCTTTGCCAGGCGCGTCCTCCTCCTGTCTCGTCCGTTCACTCCACTAGCTGAGGGAGGGGGCTCGGCACTGACTTTCTGTGCTTAGTTTTTTGTTTTTCAAAACCCTAACATTTCATTATGAAATATATCAAACGATACGGAACAATTGAGAGTTTTACGGAAAAATTCATATTCCCTTTATTAAGAGCCTGTACAGTTACTAGTATTTTATTGTATTTACTTTATCACAATGGAAAAGTGCTTTTCTACATTCTGTAGTATGTTTAAGGTGTAAGTCAACCTCATACCTGAGTCCTTGCTCCAGTTTTGATTTGAGTTTTCTCATTTCTGAATTGTTTGATTTTATTTTATCTTCTCTTCGATGCCATGATTTGTTCAGGTGACAGTTGAATTTATATTGATTTTTTTTTAAAACTTAAAATGTAATCTTAAAATCCAAGCTGGTAACTGGGGGGGGGGGGGGAGGGGGAATGGGCGGGAAGAGAATTGCAGCAATGAATGAGTGGAAATCCAAAATCTCTGTAAATGCTCACTAAAATTATTAAAATAAATAAACAAGCAAAATCCAAGCTGGTTACGTTTTGGTTACAGAATACAGTCTGAACTACATATTTGTGAGGTGTGTGTGGGGGTGTAACAATTCTGGGTATGAAGGGAAACTGACATGGGCATGTTGTCGCTGTGAGTAGCACTGACAGTTTACTTTTTATGAACCTGTTATGCATTTTACTGCCTAAAGAGAATTCCTCATTGGAAGAGACTGACCATTGCTTTATAAATTACCAACCCAAAGAAGGTGTAAAAGTGGGTGAAACTGAAGGGGGAAAACCAATACTAGATAAGAGTTGACACATATTATATCCAAGATGTTAAAATTATCAATTCAAAATAAAAATTAAGGCAACACATTCTTTAGATGAATTCACATATTTTTTTAAAAAGTACTTTAAATACTCAAAAATGGGTAAAATAAATTTTTTTCTCTCCTAAAATGGCTGAAATGGCCCTATTAAGAGTAAAATGTTTTTATTTTTATTAAGATGAATGTTGGTTGACTATAGCACTTAGGCTAATTGATAGTTTGGCCATTTGACTGTAGATAATAACTCTAAGACGTGGAAGACTAATTAATATTGGTAAGCAAGAGGAAGAATTCTCAAGTCAACTTTAGGAAGTATAATAGCTACGATGGTGGTGTTACTATTTTTGCAAGCTTGTATTTATGCCACTTGCACTTAGTGAGGCGTTAATGGTGAATTGTGAAAACTCTCTCTCTCTGCAGATTACGCTTCATGTCAGTAGAAATGGACAGCAGCAGTTTTATTCAGTTTGATGTGCCCGAGTACAGCAGCACCGTTCTGAGCCAGCTAAACGAACTACGCTTGCAAGGGAAACTATGTGACATCATTGTCCACATTCAGGGTCAGCCGTTCCGAGCCCACAAAGCAGTCCTTGCTGCCAGCTCCCCTTATTTCCGGGACCATTCCGCATTAAGTACCATGAGTGGCTTGTCAATATCAGTGATAAAAAACCCCAATGTATTTGAACAGTTACTATCATTTTGTTACACTGGAAGAATGTCCTTGCAGCTGAAGGATGTTGTCAGCTTTCTAACCGCAGCTAGCTTTCTTCAGATGCAGTGTGTCATTGACAAGTGCACGCAGATCCTAGAGAGCATCCATTCAAAAATCACTGTTGGAGAGGTTGACGCTGTTACAGTTGGTGCTGAGGAGAACCCCGAGAGTCGGAATGGAGTTAAAGAGAGCAGCTTCTTCGCCAACCCGGTTGAGATCTCCCCTCCGTACTGCTCGCAGGTGCGGCAGCCCACCACAAGCAATGACCTGCGGATGGAGACAACCCCCAGCAAAGCTCTGCGCAGCCGCTTACAGGAGGAAGGGCACTCAGACCGAGGGAGCAGTGGGAGCGTTTCTGAGTATGAGATTCAAATAGAGGGGGACCATGAGCAAGGAGACCTGCTGGTGAGGGAGAGCCAGATCACTGAGGTCAAAGTGAAGATGGAGAAGTCTGACCGGCCCAGCTGTTCCGACAGCTCCTCCCTGGGTGATGATGGGTACCACACCGAAATGGTTGATGGGGAACAAGTTGTGGCTGTGAATGTGGGCTCCTATGGCTCTGTGCTGCAGCATGCGTATTCCTACTCCCAGGCAGCCTCACAACCAGCTAGTGTGTCAGAAGCATTTGGAAGCTTGAATAATTCCAGCCCTTCCAGGTCCATGCTAAGCTGCTTCCGAGGAGGGCGAGCCCGCCAGAAACGGGCAATGTCTGTCCATCTGCACAGTGATCTGCAGAGTTTGGTGCAAGGGTCTGACAGCGAAGCTTTGGTGAATAACCCCGGATATGAGAGCAGCCCCCGGGAGAGGAGTGCACGAGGACACTGGTACCCATACAATGAGCGGTTGATCTGTATTTACTGTGGAAAGTCCTTCAACCAGAAAGGAAGCCTTGACAGGCACATGCGACTGCACATGGGAATCACCCCCTTTGTGTGCAAGTTCTGTGGAAAGAAGTACACACGGAAGGACCAACTGGAGTACCACATCCGGGGCCATACTGATGATAAACCATTCCGCTGTGAGATTTGTGGGAAGTGCTTTCCATTCCAGGGTACCCTCAACCAACACCTGCGGAAAAACCACCCAGGTGTCGCTGAAGTCAGGAGTCGCATAGAGTCCCCAGAGGGAACAGATGTGTATGTGGAACAGAAACTGGAAAACGACGCATCGGCCTCAGAGATGGCCCTAGATTCCCGGATGGAAATTCACACAGTATCTGATACTCCTGATTAAGATGGTAAAGAAGTGCACCCAAACAAAGCACATTAATCAATGCATATTTGTGATTTGCTTTGTTGTAATCTTTGATTTTCTTAACCATCTGGAAATCTCTCGGTCCCTTGGCAATTTTTCTAAGGTTTCTGGATCATTGTGTTGATCCTTTCCCCACCGTCCCTCCTCCAAGGAGCTCAAAGCATGAAGGGCAACATATCCAGGGAAAACATGGCCTGACAGTATTCCTCTCTGGCTGAACTGTTTAATCCAAACTCTGCCAGGGCTTTCGCTATGCCAATTAGTTGACCCTACTTTCTCTGCCAAGAGGCTTACAATCAGTCTCTTCGTGTATGCTGGCACCATGCATTTCTACCAGGAGAGACTAGGATACTGTCAGCTGAAACAAATGGGTAACCTTTTCTAATTTAAAATTATGTGTAGGGGTAGTTAGACAATTTATATATATATATATAATAAAGTGATTATTATATATATAGTATATATACATTCTAAAATTTGATTTTATTCTAGTTGAGGTGAATGTAAGAGGAATATATAATTTAAATACAATGTGAACAGGGCTTTTGACTCTGTCTCATCCCTACCTAATACATTAAGAGTTTTGCCCCTTTATTTCCCTTACAAAAGAATGTTAATTGTTTTCACATATATTAATCATTGTGTCCAAAAGCAAGCAAAGCAAATCACAATCTCCTAGCTCTGCTTTGTAACAAATACATAAACCAAATGCCATATATGCTACTCTAGTTGGAAACAAGTTTGGCATTTTTGTTAGTTGTCCAGTGGATGAGCTGGATGACCTGTGGTGCTGATTTTTTTTACATATTGTAGTGTTATATTAGCCAACCCCAAAGGAGCAGTGGTTGTTTTTACTGGCCTATGAATCTACCTTCATTCCGTACTGTAGAAACATACATACCAGGTAACTAAATCTAATCACTCTACAATGAGTACTAGTACTCGCACTAAAGGAAAGGAATTTGTAGTTCTGTCTGCAGATTCTCCAAGCAGTGTTGTATTTTTCTTTCTCTTTTCAAACAGCCAGTTCAGGTGCACAGCAACTTTTTCTACGTGCAGTTCCCAGGGAAACTGCAGAACTTGGAATTTGTACTTTTTGTAAAGATATACTCTATGGGAATTGCAAGCAATATATCTTAGAATTATGTGTGCTAATGAGAGCCTCAGGGGCTCCCCCACTCTCAGTGTTTTCTGCTTAAAGAAACCAACAGTGAAAAAACCCTCTAAGATACTCTGGTGTGTCACCAAGTCTTTGTGTATCACCATTTTTTGGTCACGTGGTGCTATTTTTTATGTTCAGTATCTTTTAGGTCAGTATAGTGTAGAAAATGTGAAATCTAATGGTAATAGTGAATTACAATTTTTTTTTTCTCTCCTGAGTTCATAGCTTGAAAAGAGACCTCAAAAGCATGTGCTGGCAAACACAGTACTGTATAAAACCTTACCTGAGTCCTTTTTGAATAATATTTTAGTAGTATTTAGGAAATATCATCAGTTCTATATTTTGCTCACATGTGGGCTTCTAGTATGCAAAACAGACTTTACAAGATTGTTTTGTACTGTATACTCTGGCAAAGAGTAATTTTTGTGAGTAATTGAGTTTGCTGCAGGCTGCCATTGGTATGTCAGCGCTCTAAACTGCTTGAAAACTTCTGGCTTTGAAAACTCAAAACCAGCATTTTGTCATAGGAGTACAGGAAAACCATCAGAAATAGGAAAATTAAATCATGAAAAGACCAACCTCATAGGCTTTAATTTAAAGGAATAATAAAAAAAATAGATGTTTGCTGGTTTCCCATGCTTTTTTGGCTCTTTAAAATGAAAAAAAGAAAGGGGGGGGTTATTGGTTTGGGGAATATTTTGGTTTTAGGGAAAAAAATCATTCAAGCCCTTTGTGTGTAATAGACCCCAGGGGGTGGTAGCTGTGCAGTAGCATCTCTTTAGCACACAGGACCTGCTCACGTGTGAACTGCTGCACTACACATCAGTGTTACTACTTTACTTACTACGGACAGATTACACTCTAACTCCCGCTGCTCCAGAGGAGCGGCTTTTGCTAAATCGGGTATATAGTTAGTATGCCTTTTTCCTCGTTAAACTGCCTAAGTAAGGGGATTGTTCTCTCCCTGAAGCACTTGCTCAAGCTGTGTGCCTCAAGGGGAGACTGGACCCCAAGTGTTTACCCACTTTAAATATGTTCTGGGGTTTCAGGTAAATGTTTGTGAGTTCTTTTTACTTAACAAAGTTTGATTTTTTATTTTGTTTCATTTTAAAAGAATGCAAAAAAATTACTGTGTTTTGATATAAATTTAGTTTATGACAAGAAATTCCCAAATCCAAGGATGTAAGAGGTCAGGCTCAGGGAAGGAACCTCCTTTTCACTCAGGCTTGGGGTCTTCTGAGAGGTCTCCAGAGCAATTGGTGATGAGACAAATTAAGAGGGGAGGGCACTTGGGGCAAGCACCTTGAATGTCCTGGTTCTTGTCATTGTGTCAGTCTTAACTTTATTAACATGGAGTTCTTTGTATTTGTAAATTTGTTTAACTGGTTTGAGTTTACCAAAGAGTGACTTATCCAAAATTGTCTCTGACAAAAATAAACATTGCTTTGATTGTACAGTTCAGGTTCAAACATTGTAATGGGACTGTTAAAGGGGCAGAAAATTGATTGCATTTCTCTCTAATAATCATGATTCCACATTTTGCAAGTTTCTCTTGCTCCCATTCATGTTGCTAATACTTTACCCTTCCCACTGCTAGCAGTGTTAAGAATGAATTCTCAAGCCATAACACAGTACTGTAAAGTTCCGCAGGGCTTCTAGGGAGGCAGTGTGTAGACCAGCACAGAGCTCTGTGGCCTCTCTGAGCATTCTGACTGCCATGCTTCCCAGTATGCATGGCTGTGAACGTTTATCTCCATTCAGACCGGGCAGCAGCAATTTAATTGTGCCTTGTCACATGAGCATGTGCCAGGAGGATTAAAATGACCACACAACAGAAACATTCTCTCCTTGAAGTTCACTTCATGTCTCTACAGATGAAGTACGCTGTGTAACTCCTTAGAGCAACTCTTTTGGAAAGCAAAGTCCCTATTTCTGTACAGTTTTAGGTTAGCTATTTCAATTATATCAGATGCAGAAAACAGTTAAGATAAAGTGATATGTGAAGAAATCTTTTACAGTAAAATATATCCTGAATTCATACAGGTTTGTTCATAATTGAGTCTCTTCTTGAGCTACCTTTTTCAGTACATAGACAATGTGAAGACAGTGACAGTGTCCTTTTCTAAAGTTGTTTAACCTGTTATTACAAACTGTGAAAACAAAGAATTTTATACTTTTACTAATGTTTGTGGGATTTAAGCAGTTAATTTTGTTCTAATCGGTTCTCTATGCTCTCATTTCTATTACAGCTGTAAATACATTTAGAAATTATATTTGTAAATACAGTATCTGACAAGTTAATTTTTCTGTCATTGGAAAGCCTCCCAATTGGCTCTGCTTTGTTGTTGTGTTTTGTTTTTTTGTTTTTTTTTCCAAACAGCAGAAAGGATACTGTCGGCTCACTGTTAAGCAGAATATACTGTAGGAATGGAATTGATAGGGTTGTTTTGTTTTGTTTTTAAAAATATTCTTCCAGAGCATGAGTAGATGTCTTTTCTAATAATAGCATCATAACCAAGTCTTTGTTTTTCCCTGGCCCAAACCATAAGCCTGCAAATGTGTGGATTTTTTTTTACACACTAGATTTTAGGAAGAACTTGCAGGAACACAAAGCAAGGGCTGGGAGGAAAACCATCCATGTGAATGAGCTTTACTCTGAAGAGATCAGTGTATTTTATTTTAACAGCTTTTTATATTAGTTACTGTGATTTTTTTTTAAGAAATGTTGTCATTATTATTAAAATCTATAATGGTTTTCTGTGAAGCCTCCACTGAAAGGGACTCAAATATGCAACACCTAACCTATTTTCCAAGGGCACATGCCCCTTGAATGGTGCTTCTAGACTGGTCAGGGTTATTTATTAAATTTTATATATGAAAGTATTGGGGAATTGTGTAAATTCTTTATATGAAACTATTTAGTTCATAAATCATAGATTTCATAATACTCAGTGCAACTGAACTGCAGGTTCAGAAAAGTCATTCACATTGTTCCAGATTTGTAATGGTTGTCAAATGTCACGAACATCTTTTTCAGTAAGTGCCAGAGTGTTTCCACTGTTTCTGCCCAGTGCTTGATTTCTCAGCCCCGGAGAGAACCTGTTTTTTCTGGTTCCTTCTTTGGATCTGGCATAGACAGGGCTATTTTAGTTCTTGATCAAGTCCTGGAGTAAGCCTTACTTGGCACTCCTTGTAGCAGATTGAGTAAACAAACCTCTTGCTGCCCCTCAGTGACAAGTATGCTGTGAATTCAACCTTTGGACTTGCTGCCCAAGCCTCTGGTTGCTGCCCTGACTACAGTAAGAGGTGAACTTACCTAGTTTGTTTGAGAATGACCATTTTTCTAATGTGAAAACCATCTCTCACCACTTATATTAGTAGGGCTAACATTTTTCCGTTATAAATGGTTGAGCAATTTGAATGACTTAACACAGTGTCATTATCTTGCAATATAAACTGGTAACCTCACAACTCCACACTTCATCACCATATGAAGTAAATGAAGCTAGCTAAGCGGATGCTATATCAACTAGTAACTTGCCATTAAGGATTATTTTATAGCATGACTTTAAGACTATTTATTCAAATGATATTTTACTCTTGTATTCATTTTGTTTTGGATTTGTGACATGAATATTTCAGTGCTGCTTAATTTTGTTCTGATGAATCTTTGTTTCTTGCTTGTAAATGGCTTTTTTTATGGTATAAATAAAGTCAATGGAAATTGCTGTTTGTAAATAAAAATGCTGCTAGAGCAAATGGTCTCCTTCTCTATTTGCCCCTCCTGTTCTCTTGAGTTCCACTGACCCTCATGAAC